GGCTACAAGTAAAATATTATGTGCTGAACAAAACTATGAAAATGCATCAGATCATGTTGGTACAGGGTATGGAAAATTGCATTTTATAGCAAGAGAATACATATCCTTAGCACATTTTTAAAACATTCCTGTAAAATTTGTTCAGACGGATTTGGTTCCTTTTGGAACCAAGCTCCATGAATAGTCAGGAATGCTGGCCATTTGTTAGGGGTGGTGTGATTGTGCTTTTCCTACATGGCACAGGGTTGGACTGGATGGCCCATATGATCTCTTCTAGCTCACATCCACTCTTCCAGCTCACATACACTCAATACTGCAAATTGTTTAGGACAGAGAATTCAATGAAGGCATTTTAAGACTTCATCACTAAAACATGAGTCCTTAATAGCTGTATCCAACACTCCCAGCTTTCTCTCACTCAGACCCGTGGATGCAGCATTCTACCGTGACACTCGATTTATAAAGGAAGCCTTTCTCTTTTTTCCCCCTCGCCCTCTCTTTTTTCTTCATTTGACAGCCACAGCTTTTGTATACCAGAGAGAGAGAGACTTATGTAAACATCCCAAGATGTGCAAAAGATAAATAGCTCTCCCAGCCAAAAGGCCTCCGCCCATCTCAGGTCAAAACCACAGGCAACCAGCTGAGGCTAGACCTTGGTTTGTTTTTTTCCAGCAGATGAGGCAAGATAGGGCCTTTTTTGGAGGATCTTTGCCTCTACTGTAAATGTTGTTTTCTGCTATCATAGCAAAATAAATCTTGTGCAGATTTATGGTGCTGCAAAAGGCTTCTTCAGACATGGAGAGAGTACCACAAATATGATGACAAGGAGCAGCTGTTATTGCCACTTTGGGAAAGCTGTTGGAGAGCCATCTAAGATTAAGGCTTTCACCCCATTTTAGTGTACAAAAATCAAAATGTATTCTGTGCTATGTGTTTATCTGCTCTTTAGATGGAATGCAGCTGTAAATCTTTTAGATGGGACTGTAAGGGCTCCAGAGTCCTGCCCCCTGCCATGTAGGAATACACAAATAAAGGACTCCCAAAAGATGCCATTTTCTGAGGAAGTCTGTTCCATGCTTAAGCAATTTTTACAGTAGCATACAGAGAATCTACCTATGAAGATATAATGTAGGTAGATTCTCATGTAATTTGAGCCCATCTAATAATATGGTGCCAGCTGAGAGGTATGCTTTGAGGCCTGGAGAAATTACTCATTTGTTATATGCACTGTCTGTAACAGTATGGGGATGTGTAGCTGGAATAGTGATGGATATTGCTTAGCATAGTGTTTTCTCAAACTCTGCTCCTCCAGGTATTTTGTACTTCGGCTCCTAAAAATCCCAGCCAGTTTACCAGTCGATAGGAATTGTGGGAGCTGAGGTCCAAAACACCTGGAGGAACAGAATTTGAGAAACATTGGCTTAGTGCAGTGGTTCTCAAACTGTGGGTCCCCAGATGTTTTGGCCTTCAACTCCCAGAAATCCTAACAGCTGGTAAACTGCTGGGATTTCTGGGAGTTGTAGGCCAAAACACCTGGGGACCCACAGGTTGAGAACCACTGGCTTAGTGTGTTTTATTGCCAAGCCAGCTAACAAAGACAATGTTTTTCCTTGACTCTGTGTTGACATACTACCTGGTTAGCTGTTTTTTGGCAGATTCTTGGACTATTTACCCAAATGCCCATTATGCCCATTTCTGCAACCAGAGGGCTTTCCAGTGCTTTTCCTACTTTAGCCCACCTTTGTGGTGTAATATTACAAGATTTTCCCCCATCAATTCAGGTTTTAGCTCTAATACTTCAAAGAAAGTGATGCTACTAACCTGTCCATGCTACTTAACCACTGGTTTTCACTTGTGCAGCACTTGGAAATGGTGGGCCAGAAGAGGCATGACATAGAAGACCCTTGCTGCTGACTTCACCATTCCCCTTGTAACTGTTTCTCCAAGAGTTCAAATTCCTTTCTCAAATAATCATAGTTTCTTCTTTCTTTATGTAATGGTTTTCCTAGGACTTTTTTTTTTTTAAAAAAAGAAGAAATACTCACAGTACTTTTAATCTCAACACCTTCCACTAGTCTCACTCCAGAGGTTCATTGATGACTTGGGTGAGCCTTAACTGTTATCTTGCATTTAGAAGACAGTGATGCTTCTGGTTGCTTTGGTGAATAATCATTCCAAACCTGAGAGTACATATATTAAATATATCCAAGCAGCTCTCAACCTTCCTTAGTTTTTGTGCTTGGACCTTTTCCTGAGCAGCTGTTAAGCCATGGCATTGAAGGGGCCATTGTTATAGCTGCCTAGCAACAATTGTGATCAACTTCTCTGGGCACATTGGCCTTCACAACCACAGCCAAGCCCCCACACAGCCATATATAGTAGCCCAGACTATTTAGCAGCTATGGCTGCTCAGATGGGACTCTACAAATGTGAAGACCTTCGACATAACATAATGGGAGCTCCTAGGGTAACATTTTGTTTGCTAGGTCACTTTTATGTTACTCTTCAAAAGTTGGATGCCTCTCCACTTGGGCTTTCCTGCAGTTTGTATGCCACTTGTTTGTTCAGGAATAAATTGAACTGAAACTGACACATTCCTGTTTTCTTCGTTGTGCTTTATTTTTGCTATAAAACTAAAGAAACTAAACTAAACAAGAAACTGAATAAACAGAACTTAAAATATTTCATTTTTAAGACTGCAGCGCCTCAAGTCTCTGCATGATGAGAGGTGAGATGAGAACTTATGTCCTAAAATGGTAAATCTGCAAACATTGCCTTCATGATTACAGTATAATGCCACTGCAGTTCTTTCCACTGTGAGATGGTCATAGCCCAACTTTCTCACTGTGCATGGCATTGATAATTTTTTTACCTGCCTGCCTTTACTTAAAAATGATCCTAAAAGGTTTTACGTCTAGAAAGCCTGCATCCTTTCATTTCTGTCTGTTTACTGATCTTCCAATTTGCTGAAGACCAGCTGGAGCCAGATGAAATTGAAGCTCCAATACAACCCAGTAAATAATAAAGGTAAATCCCACTGAATTCAATAATTCTCATTTCCAAGCAGTGTCAGTAAATGGAACTTACGATGGAATAGTGAATCAGCTGTAGGTTTCAGCCTATGTTTTACAGGAGCTATCCAAGGTGCTAAATGCTGTTCCCAAAATATATTCAGCACCCTAGATTCCCAGTATGCTAATACTGGGACCATCAATGTGGACATGAATCTGTGTAGGTGGATTTATGTGTGCAAGAATTAGATGTGCAGTGTACACTTCCCCCATCGAGTGCTGCTGTTGCATAACTATATAGCATTGCTGGCAAAGGAACTGATGCACAATTGGACCAGTGCACATTAGGCATTCTACCTGGTGACTTTTTACACACTTTTGTAAGTCACTGGCATACTTTCTTAGTGCCTCTGTTATGTATTGTAGTTCTTCAATTATAAGATGCCATTGATAGTAAGATGCACACAAATTTCAGTGCCACTAACAAAAAAAAGCTTCAAAAAAGCTGATGCAGCTCTGAGATGCACCCAGTTATTAGGGATGCTTATATGAGGAAACAAGTGCATCTTAAAATTGAAGAAATCTCACACTTACCCAGATCTATGTGGAATGAAAGTCATATAGGATTCCAGCATATTTTATTTGCTATTTTTTAAACCAAGTGTTTTTCACAGCATAATTAAGAGAAGCAATGCCACCAACAGTTGACAATTAAAGAAGTAATGACACAATGATTTCTTGTGACCCCCCTGTTCAACCTATACTATACTAGGTTGAACTAGGAAAAAACTGTGTTTTTTCCTAGTTCACACCTCTCTTAGGAATCTTTAGGGCCTCCTCCACACAGCTGTATAAAATCCACATTGAACTGGATTATATGGCAGTGTGGACTCAGATAATCCAGTTCAAAGGAGATATTGTGGATTATCTGCCTTAATATTCTGCATTATATGACTATGTGGAAGTGGCCTTTGCCTTCCAATTCAAGTCTATCAACAATTTCTGGGAGATATAGAGTAACTCTGCAAGAACTAGGGCCCTTTCACACAGCCATGTAACCCAGAATATTAAGGAAGATTCTGGGAATTATAGCCCCCAAAGTAACCTTTCCAATCTTTGTTAAAGACTACGTAAAATACTACAACTCAAGTCTCCACCTTAAATAGGTGTTACTGCCAACCATCTCAAATACTTTATGTTTAAAATCCTTAATAGTCTAAATTATATTCGCAGGTATTTGTTATTATGCAGTGCAAGTTTTCCAATTTGTGGCAACTCTAAAATGACAGGGTTTTCTTAGCAAGATTTTTTGGGAAGGGGGTACGTTTGCCTTCCTTGCATTCCATTTACACTGCCATATAAATTCTAGATTATCTGCTTTGAACTGGATAATATGGCAGTGTATCCTCATATAATCTGGTTTATCTGATTTGATAATCTGTTATATATGGCAGTGTAGATCCAGCTTCAGAGTCTGAAGGAGTATGACTTGACCAAGGTCACTCAGTTGGTTTCCATGGCCAAACAGAAGTTTGAACTCTGTCTTCTGAGTCCTAGTCCACCGCATTACATCACATGAGCCTCAGCTCCCAGAATATTGATCCTTTGGGCCTTTCCACATAGCCCTATATCCCAGAATATCAAAGCAGAAAATCCCACAATATCTGCTTTGAACTGATATTCAAAGCAGTCCACACTCAGATAATGTGGGTTTTGATATTCTGGGATATAGGGCTGTGTGGAAGGGCCATTTGTCATGCTGGCTGGAGTTTCTGGGAACTGAAATTTGCACTGGTGAATTAATGGTTCCATAAACAGAAATGTGACCAGTCACCTCATTCAAAGTGTCACACAATCTTGTTCAGTCTCATTCTGGGACGGATGCCTTCTCACACCTCCCTCCCCTCCTTCTTTACCCCCAGGGTAGTTATTGTTAATATTTAATCTCTCTCTCTCCCTTTTTATTTTACCCTTGTTTAAATCTCTGCTCTTTTGTGGGCGAGTCTTCACAAGACTGTAAGTGTCTTTCGAGCACTGTGAGTACACACAGGTCCGGCCACTTGTCATTTACGAGCTTCTGGGCAAAAGAGGAAATTGCTTCAGGGAGTTTGGAAACTCAGGAGTTTTCTTCTTCCTTCAGCCTAGGCACGAGGAACCTTTATAAATAAGTGCTGAAAAAGTGGAAACACACACGACCCGTAGATGTTGGACATTTGATTTGGATCACCTGCTCCTTACAACCCATCTTTCCTCAGTAAGTGATGTTCATTTTTTAAAATATGCTGAAATTTTTGTGTAGACGCATCTGAAGTTAAAAACTTGCCTCTGGGAGTTGCTTGGGATTATCTTTCAGAACTGGTTTATACTTAGAGTGACCAACATTGAGGATTGTGTGCTACTTGTAGCAGTGGCTCCATCCACAGCTGAATAAAACCCCACACGATCTGCTATGAAGTGGAATATATGGCAGTGTGGACTCAGACAACCTAGTTCAAAGCAGATACTGTGGGATTTTCTGCCTTGATATTCTGGGTTATATGGCTGTGTGGAAGGGCCCAGTGACTGTTCCTTAACAAGGGATCATTTCACATCTCCTTGATGAGAAAACCTTCAGTGACTGCTTTCTGGGTATCAAGCAGCTTTTAAAATCAGGGGAGAAGACCAGAACTGCCACAAATATAGCCATTTCCATATCAATTGGAAACTGAAACAGAGTTGTCAAGGGGATGTGAAACAAGGACACATTTCTCCAAACATTTTCTCCTAATAGTGCACCAAGATGTTGCTTATCATACAGGGCAAAAGTGTGAAATTCTACCTGCCGTACAAATATGAAAGGCTCAACTGACTGCTTTGCTCAAACATGTGTAGATACTGCTCCATTAATGTTTATACATGGCTCCTTGTACCTTTAACAGTAGCTTAACATGCAGAAACTTAGAAAGCCTAATAAGGTGACAAACTGCTAAAGTACACAGGAGCAAGGCTTGGAAGGAGAGGGATGGCAGGATTTTCAAATGAAATCATGTTAATTCAAGTTTGATTTCTTAGTTGCAGTGAATTAATGTTCAGAAGCAGCCTCTCCTATCCTTTCGTGCATTTCTGGCTTCAGCATATATCATGGTTGAAGGTTCCAAAGCCAAGCTATGGAAAGATTTCTGGCTCCACTTTGCTGTGTTCTTTCTACCTTTCCCTGATATGAAACAAGGTAGCATGAAGAAATTGAACAAGAAATGCTCCTTTCACCAAGTTATGTTTTGGTTTTTGAAAGTCTACTAAGCACCTGTTTAAGAGACAATGGATGTCATAGCAGAGAGACAGCGCCATAAACTTTCAAAATCCCATTTCATTATCTGTCTCTGTTTATATCTGCCACAGGGCAGGGCTACCCTTTTTTCAGTTCAAATGAGCTTTTAAGGGCCCTTCCACACTGCCATATAACCTAGAATATCAAGGCAGAAAATTCCACAGTATCTGTTTTGAAGTGGGTTATGGGAGCACACAGTGCCATTTATCCCAGTTCAAAACAGAAAATGTGGGATTTTATTCAGCTGTGTGGAAGGAACCTAAGAAATGCGCTTTTACTGCTTGGGGAGTGCACAACTTTTTCCTTGATGTGTTTGAATTGCTTTTCCTTTACTTTTGTTTCAGTCACATTGAACTGCTTACTTGCTTATTATCATGATATTAGCAGGCAAGCCTAAGTGTAGGGCTAAAATCCAGTAGTTCTCACATTCCACAGTGGTAGCAACCAGGAAACTATTTGCTGACAATGGCGGGGTTTGTTGTTGTTGTTGTTGTTGTTGTTGTTGTTGTTTTATTTTATTTACCACTCCAGGGTAAGTCTTCATCTAGTTCATTTGGGATATATTCTGCATCCTATTTCTGCACCTCTACAATTTTGGGTGTAGATGATCCATACTGTGCAAGTTGTGGTTTCCTTCTGTTAAACACATAAATAGCACCAAGTTACAGAAATCCACACCACAAAGTTACAGGAACAGCTTTGAGTTTATCAAACTACTTCCCTTTAGCTCCTCCACCCCCTTTCCCCCCAAAATCGTCACTCATACTTATTTTGCTTACAGACTCTTGGGGAGCAAGGTAAGGTGCGTGCTGCACAGAGAGAGGTGGAGAGGAAGGAGAGCTTGGGTTGCTGTGTGGAGAGGTGACTGTCCTGGCAGGAAGACCTGAGACTGAAATAAGCCCTTCTTTCAGCCCTATGCGTTCCGGCCAGGACACTCACCTGAGTATAAGCTGAGGAGGGCTTTTTCAGCCTTAAAAAAGGGCTGAAAACTAGGCTTATACTCCAGTATATACAGTAAATAGAAATAACCAACAAGCTAAGAGAAGTGAGAACTGTTTGCTTTTGTCTCCTTTTGCACTTTGAACTCAGTTTGCAGCATGGTCAGTTTGCAATAATCTCAAAGTAAAGGAGGAAAGCAGGAAGAGAAGAAACCGGGACATTTTCAAAGGAGCTGAAAAAATGAGATGAAAGAGGATGACATTGCAGTGATGCAGTCGGGACATCACTGAGTAGGGCTGCCGCTGGAACACATATCTATGCTATTAAAAAGCACTCCTGCCAGATCAAGTGGTTGTAAAATGCACATGGAGAGGCCCACATAGGCTGTCTTTCTGATCAGCTGGCAACTCTAAGTCACTAAGAAGCTTAGCACAATGTGTGTCTCTAGAGTGCATTTACACTGTCAAATGAATGCAGTTTAACATCATTTTAACTGTTGTGGCTCCGTGCTGTGGAATTCTGGAGAAATGTAGTTTAACAAGTCTTTAGCCTTCTCTGCCAAGGATTTTGGCTCCCTCGCCAAACTACAATTCCCATGCTTCCATAGCAATGAGTCATAGCAGTGAAAGTAATGCCAAACTGCATTAATGCAACACTTTAAATCAGGGGTCCTCAAACTTTTTAAACAGAGGGCCAGGTCACAGCCCCTCAAACTGTTGGAGGGCCAGATTATAATTTGAAAAATACATGAATTAATTCCTATGCACACTGCAAATATCTTATTTGTAGTGCAAAAAACATTTAAAAACAACACAATAATTAAAATGAACAATTTTAACAAATATAAACTTATTAGTTTTTCAATGGGAAGTGTGGGCCTGCTTTTGGCTGATGAGATAGGATTGTTGTTGTTGTGTGCTTACAAGTAGTTTCAGACAGGTTGAACCTGAGCGAAGGCTAGGTAAATGACCTTGGAGAGCCGTATCCAGCCCCCGGGTCTTAGTTTGAGGACCCCTGCTTTAGATGAGACCTTTATCATCGTGGAAGGTATACAAACTTGTGTATAAGTTTGTTGGAAAGAGCAGGACAAATTGCTTTCTCTCTCTCCGTCATGATCTCTCCTTTTCAACCCCTTACATTTCCAGCTTCTTTTCCTCCCCAACTACTGGGTACAGGAGAAGTTCAGTTTTCTTGCTGCAAGAGGTCTGAAGTGATTACCTGAAGAGGGTTCCAAATTAGACTGAGGGCCACCAAAAAAAAAAAAAGGTCCATGACCCACAAGCTTCCCAGGACACTCACCTGAGTATAAGCTGAGGGGGGCTTTTTCAAGCTTAAAAAACGGCTGTAAAACTAGGCTTATACTTGAGTATATACAATAAATAGAAATAACCTACTCTGATGGTTAATACTACTCACCCTTGCATTTTCCCCATCCAAGATGCCCATACTAATACTGGTATGTTTGAAGGCCTAATTCGGCTTTCCCAATAGCCGAGGATGCCTACATGCAGTTCTTTGGGGCTTGTGCCTCCAGTCTCTACCACCCACGCATCCAATCTGAAACTTGAAAAGAGATCCAGCCAGGTAGAAGGTGGTGCCAGTTGGGAATGATTTGGAGATGTCTGTTTCCGTGGCAACGTCCCAATTAGGCCTAAAGAGGAAGGAATTGGGTTGCGCTTTGATCTCTCTTCCCTGGAGGCATCTGGGATGGAAATCGGAGAGAGCATCTGTGTGCTTGCCAGTTAGAGAGATTGAGAGGGAGAGAGAGAAAGATCAGTAGGCTTTGGGGTGGGTTTGCCAGGAAGCATCGTCTCACTCCTGCCAGATTCATGGTTTCCCACCTTTTCCCCTTGCATCATGATGAGGACCCTAATTGAGACAGGGATCTGTTCTCTCCAAACACTGCACAGCAGGCCTGTGAGCCAGACCCTGCCTCAAGGGAGACTTGGACCCAAGAATCCAAAGCCTTGCAGTGAGGCAGAGCAAGGGAGCTGCTTCAGACAGCAGAATCTGCCAAGGACAAAAAAAAATATGTTATTTCACTTAGGCTGTACAGTCAGTACTCCACATTCACTGGGGTTATGGGCACAGGACCACCATGAAAGTGAAAAACAAAATAAAGAAATTGCTGATTTATTACCTGAGAGAACAACAAGGAAAGTCCAGGTCTTCTAGCATGACTCTCCAACTTTTGCTGGAAGCTAACTATAGAACTGCATTGGAGGATCCAGAAATTCCTACAGAGGGTGTGTGTGTGTGTGTGTGTGTGTGTGTGTGTATAAGGACAAGTTGACACTAAATTTGGACACTACACCCCTAACAGACCAACGAGTGACCATCACTCACAACCCCCTCCCAAAAAACAGGGGAAAGGTCTTTAAATCCCAAAAAGCTAAATGATGATACAGCGCATGTGCAAAAACAAGAGCTCCCAGCATCCCCTAGACCAGGCCCTTTTGGGCAGGAGGATGCTCCAAATGCACTGCTTCCAAGCTGCAAGATTACTTCTTCTTGGAATTCTTTGAGAGCATCCTAATTCCTGCATATTTTCTATTCCTGGACTGCAACTACCAGCAATCCTCCAGATAGATAAGATGTATAGATTAGATAGAGATAGATAGTAGCTAGACAGATCAATCAGGAGGACTGTTGGGAGTTACAGTCCAAGAATAGGTAGAGGAAAAAGAAATGAGAGAAAGAAAAAGGGAGGGGAAGGAAGGAAACAGGGAGAGAAGGAAGGAGAGAAGGAAAGAGAGAGGGAGGGAAGGAGAAAAAGAAAGGAGAGAAAGAAAGGAGAGAAAGGGAGTGAAGATTGGCTACAGCAACGCGTGGCAGGTACAGCTAGTGTGTGTATACACACACACATACATACCGGTATATCAACATGAATAGAGCCACAGTGAAAGGTCTAGCAATTCCTACAGTGAATATTTTTAGTCATATCCATGAATAATCAAATCCATAGATGTGGAGGGATGACTTTGTTTTAATACCAAAGGTGTGGAGAAGTGCTTGCTCAGTTTTTACCTTGATATGCATTACATTAAAATATTACCAAATTTTTAGACAATATTTGGAAACTATCCTTAAATATCCATTAGGAAAATACAGCAGGTCCTCCACTTTCTCTTAAAATCCAAATCCCACTATCCTCTCTTTAGACTGTGCTAGATAGAGTTAATGGGAGCTGCAGCCCAAGAACATCTGCAATCTAAAAACATATTCCTCAGCTTTATTGAAATTTTCTTCTGTGTGGTATCTAGTAGTTATGATAACATTCTGTACGAATGAATCCCAGCAGTTGATGATGTCTTGCTTCACATCCTTCCTTGTTCTTCTACAGAGATCATTGCTAATCAGTACTTGATGACTTAATTGTCTCTGACTCTTTTTTTTCTTTCTGACTTCCTATAGGCACAATATTGCTCTGGTGACCCTCAAGCATTCAATTAGAGGCAGGATAGCCTGGAACAACTTCGTGCCAGGATGGCAAATATTTCTGATAACTTCTCCTGCTATGATCCATCCATTGTTGACTACCGCTACGTATCGGTCAGCTGGGGTATTGTGGTGGCCGTAGTTGGCACAGTGGGCAATGTGCTCACCCTGTTTGCTTATGCATCTGACACCAAGCTCCAGACACGTGTCAACCTGCTCATTGTCAACCTGACCTTGGCTGACATTCTGTATTGTACCTTCCTGCAACCCTTTTCTGTGGATACCTACTTGCATCTCTATTGGCGATCAGGTGCTGATTTTTGTCGAGTCTTTGGGATGTTGCTCTTTGTCTCCAACTCGGTCTCCATTTTGACACTCTGCCTCATTGCCATCAGCCGCTACCTGCTCATTGCCAACACTGCCCTCTTCGATCGCATTTTCTCCCGCCTTGGGGTGATACTCATTGCCTTGGCCTCCTGGGCAATTGGTATTATTAGTTTTGCACCACTGTGGCGTGCCTATGTCTTAGTGCCCAAGGTCTGCACCTGCAGCTTCCATCGTATCCGCGGCCGGCCATACACCACCATCCTCATGGCCCTCTACTTTGTGGTGGGTCTCAGCTGTGTTGGCATTTTCTACTTTCTCATCCATCGCAAAGTCAAGACTGCTGCTCGTAATCTCGACCAGTACAAACTCAAGAAGTCCAGTGTGAAAGAAGTCCATGTGGCTGGGACCAGCTTGACTACCCAGGGACACTACCAAGAGTTGGACAGTGGAGTAGATAGTTCAGGTCCTTCCCAGCATTCCTGTGAGGCTTTGCCCTCTGAGTCAACTTCCAAAACCTTTGTTCCACCAGATTCTGAGAATGGCAAAACTCCACCCATGGCTCAGCCTGCAGGCCCACCTAAGAAGGTCGCTCCATGCCAGCCCAAGGACAGCAACACAGAATTCCGCCGGGTGACACGCATGTGCTTTGTGGTCTTCCTCTTCTTTGTCATCTGTTATATCCCCTTCATGCTGTTAAACATCTTCGATGCCAAAAACCGGGCTCCAATCGTGCTGCATATGATTGCTGCTAATCTTACCTGGCTCAACAGCTGTATCAACCCAATACTTTATGCTGCAATGAACCGCCAGTTTCGTGAGGCCTACAAAGGCGTGATCTCCAAGTTTGTGCAGCGGTTCCGTGGGTGCCACTAGTTTATCAAGAGTGTACAGTTGGTTCCCTCTGTCAGCATGAGACAGACATGTTCCCTTCTTACTCTGGTACTGCCTCAGAGCAGGAATGCCACCACGAAGCTGCTCAGCCTTTCACACTCGTCTAGTTTCAGAGACCTTAAGTAGACCTATGTGTGAATTCTGTTTTTTTTACCATTGCTGCATTTTATATATTTTATGTGGCCTAAATGTAATGTGCAATTCAGAGTGAAGTCATGGGCTGGCCCTTGCCTTCAACATGCATTAAAGCTGGGGCTACCCCCCCCCCCCACCCCATTTTATAAACAACTACAGAAGAGTGATTAGTTGTGCCTAATTTCAGATATTAGAGTATGGGTTGGGGGGTGGGGTGGGGAATATTATTCTGGATTGGGGTGAGCACCTGCCATTAGCCCCAACTCACCTGCTCACCTAGCAGGTCGAAATCAGAAATGTGAGTAGATAAAATAGGTACCGCTTTTAGCAGGGAGGCAATAAAGGCACCCTTAAGGACATCAATCAAGAGAAAGCTCCTTGGCATGAAAGATGGAGTGACAGAACACACACACACCCCTCATGGCTGGAGTCAAGCACGGCCTCCAAGATACCGGAAATAAGATGGGAAAAACTGCCTTTACCTCTGTCTGTGTTGTCTGTCCTTGTTAATTGTTTAATCAGCATTGAATTTTTGCCATATGTGTGTTCTGCAAGCTGCTCTGAATTCAGGATGGGGTATAAATACTGGAAATAAATAATAATAATTGCCCCATCTGATGCGTCCCCTGGGCAACATCCTTGCAGACAGCCAATTCTCTCATACCAGAAGCGACTTGCAGTTTCTCAAGTCGCTCCTGACATGACAACCCCCCCCCCCAAAAAAACCCATTGTGTATTCTTAGTCACAGCTACACTATTTCATAAGATGGAATAAGTTGGAGGCCGCTTGCCACGGACACATAAAACCTTTTCCTGGACTTTCTCTCTTAGCCAGGGAACTCCTTCTATGATCCTTCCCTTCATTATGAAGCTATTGCAACAAGCTCCCCATCCCCACCCACCCCAAAAAGTAACAATCCAAAATGATGAAAAACATAGTTTATTCAAACAGTCCAACCGCATCCCAACTATATTGTTCTCCCTTCTTTGTCTAATGAACAGCCCTGCCTTGAAGTTGTAGAAATTCACCTAAACAAGCAAATTATATTAGCTTAGCATGCAGTCTCTCAAAGTATTTGCATATTGCTATTCATAGTATATAATAACCATGTATTTCAATAAATCAATGTAATTTATTAAAATATATTTACTGGTACCATTGATAACAGTGACTCTTTTCAGGACATTGCTTCTTTTGTGTTAATATTTGTGGAAAATATATTGTCTCTTGACACAATTAGGCATCAGAGTCGTTGGCACATAATAGAGATCGGATAAAATGAATAGAAGCCAGGATGGAGGAAGATGGACTAGAAACCCCTTTCCTCGCTCTATATGCAGATTGTATTTCTTCATAGTAGTCATCCTGTGACTTCCATGTCAAATTATAACTGCTCCCTAGAGGAGTAAGGAATCTTCTGTAATTACTGTAAAGAGTCTCAGCCCACCAGCAATATGATCATGTGGAAATGCTCCTGATGTACAGAATGTCCCCATTGTGGTTCCTATCTTGAGCATGTTTTAATCCCCTGCACTTCAGATCAATACAGTGGACTACCATGGAGATTGGTAGTTGCCAGATAACTGGAGTTTCTGGTTGTTTGAGAGTTACTATTTAAAACAGGCTTAACTACTATATCTCATACTATTTGTTGTTCATTTGTTCAATCGTTTCCGACTCTTTGTGACCTCATGGACCAGGCCACGCCAGAGCTCTCTGTCGGCCGTCACCACCCCCAGCTCCTTCAAGGTCAAGCCAGTCACTTCAAGGATGCCATTCATCCATCTT